ATATATAAAGCCATGAGTCCGCCAGGCGGTAGTGGCACACGCCTTTAATCCCAAAACTCGGGAGGCAGAGGCAGGCGGATCTCTGTAAATTTGAGGTCAGCCTTGTCTACAAGAGTAAGTTCTAGGACAGGCTCCAAAGCTACAGAGAAATCCTGTCTCGAAAAAAAAGAAAGAAAGAAAGAAAGGAAGGAAGGAAGGAAGGAGGAAGGAAGGAAGGAAGGAAGGAAGGAAGGAAGGAAGGAAGGAAGGAAGGAAGGAAGGAAGGAAGGAAGGAAGAGAAAGCCATGAGGTCCACATTGCCATGAACAATGAGACACTTACTTGAAGGGGAGAGTTACCATGATTATGAAGGTGATTATCTCAGGATGGAGCTCACCTGTTGCACCCTGGGTGCGCTGTCTCCTGTGATTTTCTCAAATGTGGCAAACTTGACTGCATAATCTGTGGTAGTGGTGAAATATGTTCATGCTCCCCTAAAATAAAAACTGTAAGAACAGTAAGTTTTATGACTACATGTGAGTGTGTGTGTGTGTGTGTGTGTGTGTGTGTGTAGTTACTCATTGCCTGTAGAAAGAGATAATTGATAGGCAAACATAGCCTCAAAGTTTCTTTCTGCCAGATACTTAAAGTTGAAACAATACAAGAAAATAACCTTTTAGAAGAGAAAATTCATATAATGTCACCTTAATCAAATGAACAAAGAGAAAAAATGATAAAACACAGTGGACTGGAGAGATGGCTCAGTGGCTAAGAGCACTTGCTTTTCTTGCAGAGAACCTAAGTTCATTTCCAAGCACCCACATCAGGTGGCTCACAATGACCTGACTCCAGCTCCTGGGGATTCAACAACTCTGACCGCCAAGGGTTTTATCCCAACAAAAACACACACAACTCACATAATTTTAAAAATAATAAAAATAAATCTTTAAAAATAATAAAATAGTGAAACAACATGCTCCCGGTCAGATGTCGTGAAAAGAGAAAGCATTGTTTCTTTGGTGTTAATGCCCAAATTTCACAGGCAGAATATAATCATGAGGAAATGTCAGAAAGACCCAAGTTACAGGGCATTTCACAAAATCACTAGACTATTATCTTCAAGTATTGAAAATTGAAGGATACTGAGTCAAAATTAGAACAAAATGCAGCACTTGGTTCTAAATTGGATTCTTTGACTTAAGGACACTGCTGAAAACCTGGCCAGGCTTGAGTGGGATGGTAGCAATAGCAACACTATAATCTAATGTTGATGATTATACTAAAAGCTTTATAATAGAGCACTTCTGTATTTTAGCAAACACACAGAGAAATGTCCAGAAATAAGAGGGTAGGCTGTGGGAGGTGTTCTTTGTATCATGCTGAAAACTCTTCTGTAGGTTTGAAACTGTTTTGAGGCTTATTAAAATGTCCTGTGAAGTGGGCAAGATTGCTCAGGGGTAAAGATGCTTGTTTTTAAGCTTAAAGTCCTCAGTTTGATCCTTGGGACCCACACAGAAGAAGGCAAGAACCAATTCCCACAAGCTGTCCTTTGTTCTTCACAAGGGCACCATAGAGCATGCACACAAACACACACTCACACTCAATAAAAATAAATGTAAAAAAATAAGATGTCTTGTGGAATATTTTAAACAATGAATTAAATTTTATGTCATCAAAATATATCCCGATCAGAACTTCCCACTGAAATACTTATATTAACTATAAATACCAATTAAAATGCAGACTGTTAGACTACTTTATTTTAGAGACAGGCTGTTATTAGATAGTCCTGGCTGGTCTGGAACTTGCTACATTGAGCAGGCTAGCCTCAAATTCAGAGATCCGCATACCTCTGCATCCTGACTATTGAGATAAAAGGCATGCGCCACCACACCTGGCCCAGACTATATTTTAACAGGAATATTAGTTACTTTTCTATTGCTGTGATAAAACATTGTGGTCAAGGCAATTTACAAAAAAAAAAAAAGAGTTTGTTTGGGCTTACGGGAGCAGAGGGATAAGGGTCCATTGTGGCTGGGAGGAAGCAGGCATGGCAGCTGGAACGGCAAGCTGAGAGCTGACAGCTTGAACCATAGGCAGGAAGCAGAGAACGTGTACTGGGGATAGCAAGGGGCTTTGAAACCTCAAAGCCTGCCCCAGTGACACAAAAAGGTCATAACTCTTAATCCTACCCGAATAGTGCCACCGACTGAGGACCAAGTATTCAAACATATAAGCCTATAGGGGTTATTCTCTTTCAAACCATCACAAGTTCAATGGTTGATGACTTGCTTTGTCTGCATGCTAATATCTTGGGCAACTGAGGATAGGGAACCTGAAATGGCCTTCTCCCATAGCCATACTGATGAATATCTTGCATATCACCATAGAACCTTCATCTGGCAATGGATGGAGATAGAGACAGAGACCCACACTGGAGCACTGGACTGAGCTCCCAAGGTCCAAATGAGGAGCAGAAGGAGGGAGAACATGAGCAAGGAAGTCAGGACCGCGAGGGGCGCACCCACCCACTGAGACGGTGGGGCTGATCTATTGGGAGCTAACCAAGGCCAGCTGGACTGTGACTGAATAAGCATGGGATAAAACCGGACTCTCTGAACATGGCGGACAATGAGGGCTGCCGAGAAGTCAAGGACAATGGCTCTGGGTTTTGACCCTACTTCATGTTCTGGCTTTGTGGGAGCCTAGCCTGTTTGGATGCTCACCTTCCTAAACCTGGATGGAGGGTGGAGGACCTTGGACTGCCCACAGGGCAGGGAACCTTGACTGCTCTTGGGACTGGAGAGGGAGGGGAAGGGGAGTGGGGAGT